GGCTTCCCTGGCAGCAAATGGCTACACACAGAGCAGCTGCTTTCTGAGTGCAGTAGGCTGGTTTGTTCAGGGCCATCACCTGCCCCTCCTCCTGGGAGAGCACTGCAGCAACTTTTTAAAGCCAAGGAGAGGGGTGAAGATAGAGACTGCTTGGAGTGAGGGACTGGGCTCCTTGGCAGCAGCCCAGGGAGCAGATGCCTGCTGGGATCATTTTCTAGGTGCATAGAAAGGTGCCTGTTCATTCTGTGACTCACCTCTTGTGCTAGATTCAATGAAATGAAAAGGTTTGTCTCACTGTAGACAGCAAGAAGATATACTGCTCAAACCAAAAAATTGAAGAAGGATGGTTAAAAAATCACCTTCACTATCCTTTTATTACCCCTCCTCCTTTTCAAATTAAAATATTTACGTGAACTCACAGCCTTTGAATGTAGGATCCTATTTATGTACACTTATTAATATTTATGATGTTAGAGGGCGCACTGCAATATCCCTAAAGCCCTGCATAAAATCCCGATTAAGGTCAGGAAGGGGATCACATTGAGATGGCTAATGTGTTCACAAACAAGCTTCCTTCCATACATTTTCCAAACAGAATTATTTTTTTTCTTTGACTGGCACAATCCATTTTGCTTCTATTTTTTTTGGCCTTTCAGAGCCGGGATGGATACAGATGGCAGAACTGTACTCTGTACACACAGAGTGTGCTTTATGGTAACTTGAGTCTCAGCAAAGTAGCTGTTTGAGTTGCAGCCCTGTAATCTCATGGTATGCAAGTATTAGTGATGAGAGACAAGGCACTTATTCCCTGATCCCTCTCAGCAGCCAGGTGGAAATAATTCTGCCTTTTAACATGTAAATCTTATCGTTTAATATTTTGAACGTCGAGCTGGGATTGAAGATGCCAGTGCCTACACTACCTGGCACCCAGCCAGTACCGAGACCTCACTCCAGCAGAGCACACCAATACGTTTTCCAAGTTTGGTTTGCCCATGGCACAACTCTCAGGCTTCAAAGAAAGCAGAGGTGGGAGCACCGTGCTGGGCTGAGGGCAAGCTTCATGCAGAGCAACCACAAGCAAGCCCTCTTGGAGCTTGTCACAAAGCATGATGCCCATGAAGGTTTGGGCAGGCTTCGTAACCTAAGGGAAGCATCTCAACAACTTGTCTGGTTCTCAGAGTTCCACCCACAGCTTCTGCTAAAGCTCTTCCCTTTTAAGCCATGAATTAATTTTTGTCTCATACATGTTACCTCCATCCTTTCGTATGTAGTTTTGGCATTAGACACAGAGTTTGTATGCAAAACAATTTTCGTGCTAGTGTTACATTTCTTCTTTATTCCTTTACTTTTACTGTCTTCCTTTACCCTTGATGAAGTCTTTCTGTCATCTTCTCTCTGATGAGCCCATGTGAACTAGAGACCCATAGGTAAATATTCAGAAATTGCAGAAGTCTGTCATTAACCTTAACTCTGCCTGTGTATGCCTGTGCATTTATGACAGAACTTTATTCAGCGGGGCTGAAAAGAAACACGTATAAGGAGTGATGCTAACGTGGTATATTAGGCAAAGTTCAAAGAGCAGGTATTCTGCAGAGGAGCAGGGGGGGAATATGTGCCACAGCAAGCAGCAGCTGTGGGTTTTCATCAGCCTGAATGGTTTGCATGAGGAAGCCAGTCCTGACATAGTTTCACTGTTCTGTTCTACCTGGAAGTGTGTGAAGTGACCATGAGTTTCCTTCCTGCAGACCCTCCCACCATCACAGAGTCCAAGAGCAATGAAGCGGCCACAGGACGACAAGCCTTACTCCGGTGCGAGGCATCAGCAGTGCCCACACCTGATTTCGAGTGGTACAGAGATGATACCAGGTAAGACTTTTAGCTCACCTCTTCCCTTCTCTCCTTTTCAGTCCATTTAATAGAGGAACCTTAGAGAATAACTTATTATCCTCCCCAGCTCTTCTCCTTAAACAAATTACTCCTTACAATCCATTTGAGTCACAATGTCCCATCAGACTTGGCAGAGCCAGTATGGTCAGGGCTGGGGGAGGCAAGCCCTCTCTGTGGAGGGGATGCTGAAGGAAGTGTAAAAAGTAGAACTCTTGCCTTTTAGTCAGTTATGGACCAAAACACAATTAAGACAATGTTTATGCTTTAAGTAGCCCATGATACAGACAAAAAAAAATAGGTAGTGTTAGTCTCCAATTAGGTAATGTAACTCTAGGTGCCTTCACCTAGAGGAAGGAGCTGCTGAGGTGTGAGATTCCCCCATCTGTGTGACCTGAGCCTCTCAGATTTGCATATGAGAGTAAATGAGAAAAGAGATCTGTCCTTTATACCTGAGCATTTTCCTGGCATTAAGAATGTTGTGTTATTGTCTAGTTTTTAACCTGACCCATGTGCACAGGCTCAGGGGTGACTCAGCTTTGGTATATACACATATTGGAGCATGTCAATTGGTGTGTTTGACTAAAAGTCTGTTGTTCAAGTACAGACCAGCCTTGAGCTGGTCATAGTGTGTTCGTTTCCAGTGTTAATTGGTGCTGGATAAATTCTTCCTCCCTTTCGTTTGGCTTTTCTTTCTTCTTCACTGCTTTACTGATGGCATTTTACCACACTGTGCTTCTTCCTTTCATTCCCTTCTCCTATTTTCCATTCTTGCCTTCTTTGGTCTTCTTCCTCTGACATCTCCTTCCTTCCTCCCTCTATCCTCACCTGTCAGCTAGGTTGAATGACTTTGGTTTAGTGCCTGCTGGGCAGTGATTTCCTTCCCAACACACAACTGCCATTGCACTATACACCTCTTCTCTTGTCTTCCCAGGATAAACAGCGCCAATGGTCTGGAGATAAAGAGCACGGGGAGCCAGTCTCTGCTGATGGTGGCCAACGTCACTGAGGAACACTATGGAAACTACACCTGTGTGGCTGCCAACAAGCTGGGAGTCACAAATGCCAGCCTATACCTTTACAGTAAGTATGGGAGAGGGTGAAGGGAGGCTTTTGCAAAGATCATGCTGTCTAGGAAGCACATGGTGAGCAAAACTCAGGAAGGCATCCACTTGACAACCCAATCCCCTCAAACCTCCAGCCATCAACTGGCTTCCTGTGTTCTCCTTCAGATACCTACGTGTTCATACTTGCCATAAAACTCAAACACAGCCAATTTAAAAGGTTTACAGTCAAGCCCTTTGATTGACTGGCTTTGCTGAAGTCAGATTTTGTTAAAATAATAAAAAAGTGTTTGTTTTCAAGCTGGAAACAAAAAACTCTTTAGAATGACAGCCCTTTTAATAAGTAGACAGAAGGCCAGGGCTCGGAGGATCCGTGACAGCTGAGAAATGACAAGTAATTCAGAGAGATGGAGAGAACTAGCCACCGAGCCTGAGGAGAACAAGAGAGAGTCAAGAAAAAGAGAAATTGGTTTGAAAGTGGAAGGGAAAGAAATGAGAAAAGACAGAATGATTTAAAGGGGCATACCATAGGGAACATGGGGGAAAAGGTAATCAACAGATGAAATATGGAATAAGATTCCTTGGATATCATTCTGCTACTTTCAGTTACTGCGTTTGTCTTAGTAAGTGTAAACAGACAGAAACTGGGACTAGACCAAACTCTAGAGCAGAGTTACCTGCTGGTTCTGAATTTTGCTGCTGTCAGATTCAAGTCTGACCATAAACAGAGCCCCTGCCTCTCAACTACCATCCACGCACACATGCAAACAGTCAGGTTCAAATTCCTGATTCCAGGTCTAAAACTTGGGCTAGACTTGGACCACATGTTGTTATTGCTACCAGAGACAGACTGCAGAAGATTGACCCACTCACATGAATGGACAAATAGACACAAAAGTTACCTAAAGCAGTATTCCTTTGATGGTCCCAAATTGAATTAATACACTCATGCCATGACCTGCATGTCCTTTTAAACAGAAAAAAGATAAGCTGTGTAAAGCAGTCAATATGGGATGCAGTTTAGTCTAGTTTCTGCTCTGTGTGGTCAGATTAGTCAAACCACCAGAAAAACAATGTTTTGATTTGCTTATTATTATTAACAGATGTAGTGCAAAAGGATGAATCCATTGGCATTCTTTGTTTACCACTTCTGGATTTATTTCATAGCAGTTCGAATTTTTGCAAATTCGGGTGTATTCTGTGGAAGTTATTTTTTAAAGACCAGATATTAGCATAAAAGAACATGTATTTCATTTCCTGTAGCATTGCAGCACACAAAGCAAATTTCCACTTCGAAAGTCTTTTTACCCTGATCTTGTGACTGTCATAAGATTCAAATAAAATCCTCAGGCAGCAATCTGGAACACAACTTTCAAATATTCCAGATTTGTTCTTGCTGATATTAATATAATTCTAAATTTAGAATCCATTATTTGTGACTGAATTCTAAATTTGGCCCTCTCTGTTGGTTCCTGTTACACAGATGAACTGAAATGCATCACTGAAACAAAATATAAGATGAAATTCAATAACGTATGTATGCACACATGATTTTAGCTGGGGGGTTAGTTTTGCTAGAAAAGCATTTTGCATTACTTCAGAACTTCGCCTCAAAGGATCTCAAAGGATTTGCTAGCAATGAATATTTTAGCATCACAAGTTATTTAGAAATGGGTGAGTGTTATTAGCACCGTTTTGCAGTAGGAAACTAAGGTACCGAGTGAAGAAGTGGTTTACCCATGGTCATAAAATGAGTGGCAGAACCATTAAAGTGACCCAGGAAAATCTTGCTAAGTTGCCATTAACTATTTCAGGAGGACATGTGGCAACCATTAAAGATGACTTGGAACAGCGAGGGTCCATCCTATTTTAGCCCCCTTTTAATGTGAACGAAGAACACCTTCCTTCTTTCAAGTTGTTGGACATTGTTTATTGTTTTTACCTTGGAAATTCAAGGCCTGTTTATGCTGGAGAACACTAGAAAACTTCACAAGAGCCAGGAGAATGGAGGTGCACGAGCTGAGAGAGATTTGATGATTTTCAGTGGACTCTTTCTAACTTGTTTTTGGTTGCTTAGTTAATCCCTATTTCTTCAGTGTGCAATTGCTTCATATCGTTTCCGGAAATCTCTGTTCTTCTGGTTAGTGTGGAAGAGAGAAAGAGAGAAAAAAATAAATTCAGGCAGACTACAGCTGGTATTTTGAAGGTTAAGAAATCAGGGGGGAAATGAGTGAAGGGAATCCATCTTCATAAAGATAAAGAAACCATCTAAAAAAACCTACAAGCCCAGATGAAAAAAATGCTGCAGTGATCACACGGTAGCTGAAATAACAGGCAATGCACACTACCAGCCACACAGCCAGACAGAAAAATAAAGCAGTGCTGAGTTTTGCAAGGTATAGCAGATACTCAAATACTTGGGAGTGGTTTTTGTCCCTGGAATCAGAGATTTTATTTCCTTTTTAAATAGAGAACAAGCTCACTGTAGGGCAACATCCCACCAGGGAGACAAGTACAGTGATGGTTCCTCAGTGTCCCATTGCAGTACAAAAAAAAGAATGGCAGCTAGGAGTGAAGAAACAACCAGAGAGTTAATAATGAGGTACTGGCAGCTTTGCCTGAGGTGGAGGGCAGACAGGGAGCTAGCAAAGTGATGTGAAAGAACAGTTTAGCAATAGAGAAAAATGGGTGACTACCATTTCATGAAATCTCAGCCAGCACTGAAAAACTCTTGGAGAGACTGAGTGCCTCAGATGTCAATACCATAGATAGAAGATGCATTAAATACAAAAGCTCCCTTGAGCTGTATGAAGAGATAGCTAGTGATCTTCCTTAAAGGATGTAGCAGCAGGATTGCTTGCTGTAGGTAGAGAGATTTATACCCCTCACTCCTGGAGGCCGAGTTTACAACAACATAAAAATGGCCACACCAAAGGTGTCACTTTCCCAGGAACCCATTTCCAACAGCAATCTGGAGTATGTTTGCAGAGAGGGTACTCAGGTACAGTTTGATGATACAACCAATGTAATATCTTGCTGACATCCCTTCCTCCCCACTCCTTTTGCCTACCCTGCTCTCTGCCACATGATTTTATTGTTTCACTTATTCTGCTGCTCAGTGGACAACCCACTGAGCCAGTTCAACCTGCTAAACCAGTGAAAAGGTAACTGAGTTTTGCCACTCAGCTCCCAAAATGCCCCAAACGTTTTCTTTTGTTGTACTGAGCTGAATTAGCTCATGGATAGGCTCAGCAAGCACCAAATCCCATGCAAGAGAGGAAGTTGTGTCACACAGGTGTGGGCATGAGGAGTTGGGAGGCAGGACCACGCTCTGTAGCATTAGTGACCCAGTAGGTTGATTCAGCTCTGCAGAGCCTAGGAGCAACTTTTGCAACCCCCAAGCACAAAATGCAGTGAGACCTAGGCAAGGGGCAGTAACACACATCTCTCTGAAAATTACCTGACAGAGAGGTGAAGCCAAGGCAGCAGAGGTGAAAAGTAGTGCCACAACCAAAGGTTTTTTCCTCTAAGTATATTAGGAGGTAGAGAACATGTTTTCTTTTTGTTTCACTCATCTAGCATAGTGCTATGAAAAGCATTATGAGTAAAAATGCAATTTGTATCTTAACCCATGCTACACAGAAGTGTAAATGTTTATATACATGTATATATGTATTTACATTTGAATATATATACAGCAGATGCACACATTTGCTGTAGGAGCATATAGATACATGGGTTTATGTGTACGTGAGTACGCATATATAGGCACACCCCTGTGATATGTATAAGCAAGTCCACACATACCCCCACAGGCACATGGCACAGCACCTGATGCTTTCCAGCAAGGCAGAGAAAGTAAATGAAAGCTTATCCAAATTAGTTGACTTCTGCCCCCCACAGAGCTAGCCCGTCCCATAGGATGCAACAGGATACAACAGGGCAGTGCTGCACATCCTGATGAAGTCCTGCTGGCTAAATTGTCTCGAGGCTGCCACCTCAGCAGGTCCCCTGCTGCATCCTCTGCGGCTTGCATCCTCTGCATCCTTTGGGGAACCAGAAAACGTGGAGGTAAAGCAGCAGCTGGCAAGGTCTGTGCCAACTAGAAGCAGCAGCAGGCAGGATCCCACCCCTGCCTCCTCAAGGGGCTTCGGGTGGAGTCCAGCAGTTTCAATTGCAGTGATGCACATTCCTAAGAAGAGCTGGCACCAGCCTCTAACTTGTCATTATTTGTAAGGACTCTGTCACAAGTGCTGACTGTATGCACATGCTGACACCCCTCCTTCTAACACTCTGCCCACGCTTTGTTGTGCCTGAGCCTTTGCTTATGGTGGTTGCTGCTAGGGTTTGGAGCATAACTGTGGGCAAAATCCCACTTAGTGGCTCTTAGTGCAAATCCCACGTTTTTCCCAGGGCTGTCAATAACAGAGAGACTCAAGAGAGGAGGAAAGTGGTTTGGGGTGACAGTCAGTCAGGGCAAGGCTGAGACACTGCTAATGAGCCAGGGTGGAGCAATAAAAGCAGCACACAGTGGGCGAAGGGAACAGAGGTAGAGTCCTTGAATAGAAAGCAGCATGATAATGAGACCATAGTGCTTTGCTTTAACTGCTTATGCTGTGCTACTTGCAGCCTGCTGTGCAGGAAGAAGGTAAAGGGGAGTTGAGTTATTTAACCAAACTAAATAACAAGGAAGTCTTGTCAGCACAACAGCCTGCTTTCGCAGAACAATAGTCCCCTGTTGCTACATAAACACAGGCTAGCCGTGTATTTTCTAGGCAAGAGACAATCTCCCCTGTGCCTGCTGTGGATTCAAACAACTCCATTACCACCACGAGGGCAGGAGTTCTGCCAGTGTCACAGGGATGGGCCTGACGTGCTAGATCCTGATGGGCTCCTGTGAGTCAGAAACTCACTCTTTGCACCAAGGATGCTGTAAAAAGAGCATTAACCTCCAAATAGCTGGGCCTGGGTTGATCAGAGAATAGCACAGGAGCACTGACATATCCTGCCAAGCAGTGATCTTACTAGGTAAGCCAGGTGACAACTCATTGCCCCAGGCCTATCAGCTGTTACAGCTAAATGTCTACCTATGGATCAGTCCATGAGTAGAAACTTGCCCCAGTCAGCATGCGGCATCCAGCAAGCTCTGAAGGCAATGAAAGGAGACCCAGTGATCAGAGTTGAGCCTGGGGACCTTGTATTCTTAGTTCTGTGCCTGGCTCTGCCAACAGTTCAGCATTTGACCTTGGGCAAATTGCTCCCTTGCTTTATGCATCAACTGCACCAACTGTGAAGCAGAATTAACACTACTGTTAGCCCCAGACTGAGGTCTCTGATACTGGTTTTCCTCAGTGTCTATGCAATTCTTTTGGGATCCTTTTGTGGAAGAAGCAAACCATGAAGCCAGCAGTGGCATATAACAAGTCCTGCTGTGACGTATAATGAGGATGCATTGTAAAAACCCTATAAACAAGACAGAAGGCTCTGTGTACAACTGGAAGATGATGAGTCTGCAAATACTCTGTTCCTCTCAGAGAACAAAAACTCTAAAGGAGCAGAATGCCCTTGAGGATTCACCAGGGTTACTGCTGCCATGATCAGATTCTCAAGAGGCCTGTCACTAGCAAGAATCCATTGTGGAGAATGTTCTGGGGAGGCAGCAACTACCCATGGAGAACTTCCACAACTCACTTCTCTGGCAAGACTAGCTTCCAGCCAGAGGTGTAGCTAAGAGGAGCTGTAGAGTGATGATATGAGTGGTCTTGAAAGTCAGAGAGAAGATATGGCCCATCAACTCCAATTACCTTCACTGCAGGTGCTTAATCCCTCTTGCTGTGTGGATATTATTTGTTTAGCTTTTCAAATGACTTCTCTCTGACTCCCAGTCTCAGGGGATGTTGATGTGTATTAGGCATGTGGCTAGCAAAATGCTCTGTATATGAAACCTACTCTAGTTCATCTAATTTGGGGCTGGACAACTCCATCAGGTTTGTATCTGCTGCTTGCTTGGTGTGAAAAGTGGCTTGTCCTTTTCTCCTGCATGTTGCTTATTGTTTTTTTTCCCCCCTTAGAACGAGTTTTACCCACACTCCCCAATCCTTTTCCAGGTCAGTATATGTTTTATGTTGAAGTAGCTCTTTAGCCGGGTCATTCTCCATCATCCTGACAAATGCTCAGAGCTAGGGATGGGCAAAACAGCTCAGAAATGCAGGAACATAAGGGCTTTCCCCTTCTCATTTTCATGCCATTTTGTCTTTTCTGCTCACCTTCCTCATCCTTCCCCCCTCCCTTTTCAAAAAAACAGTCAACTGAACAGCAACAACCTCTAGCTAAGCTTTGAGCCTTGACATTGTGTTGTCTCCCAGGTCTGGACAGTCTTCAGTGTGGTTCAATTCATCTGCAGACCTACTCCTAATACATATTCCCATCCGAAACTGTCTTTGCCCACTTTATCAGATTTGGATCAAAACCATAAGCAGACCTAAAATTTTTCAGAGACAGTGGAAGGGCCAAATGAAAAGCTAAAAATTCAAATGCTGCCAGAAGGTTTTTTCACTCTAGTTGTGCAGCCTATCCACAGTGAAACACTTGTTTTTTTCATTCTTCTGTCACACTCCTCCAAGTCTGCCTGTCACAGTTCTGCATTTGAGGCAGAGAGCATGAAAGGAGGTACATGGTGAGGTGTCACTGTCTGCTTTATTCCAAGGGAAGAAAGTATGAAGGCAAAACAGGGTCTGTGTGTTTTTCCTGTCTCTGTGCTCCCCACTCATAACTCAGGTCCAGGCAACATAGCCCCAACATCCACATGAGACTTGGTGCTTGGTTGTGACCTTGAGATTCTGAAAAAGCACCGAGACCAGGCACTTCCAGAAGGCAGGCTACAGGGTTTGAAAGCAGTGTTTGAAACTAAATCAACAGTAAGGCAGCAAGTCCCTGTGTTCACTTAAAAAATCTTGGCCTAGAGCTCCTTAGTATCTTTGTGTTACTGCCATATGATGAAGATGCACTCAACTCATGGGATGCTCAGAGACCTAAATTGTTAATGTCTGTGCAGAGCTTTGGGGTAGAGTGTTATTAGGAGCCCATGCTGTTTTGCAAAAGAGCACCTGCTTGAACAAAGCACCTGCAGGTACTCCCATGAAAAGAACAATAAATGCTGGGTGTTACACCAGCTCCATTTAACTACTCCGCCGTTTTCAAATCAAGCTCTGCTCTTGGCAACTTATTCAGGCTCAGGATGTAGTCACAATTGCCTATTTAAAAGGCAAATCCACAAATACAATTAAAGAAAACTACCTACAAAAAAAATAGGAGTAGGAAGGTAGAAATCAAGCTACCATTAAAATTAAATCCCAGAGAGTGATTTGTAAATAACATTCAAGGAGCTGAGAAACGGAGTAAAGTAGGCCATTGGGAACCTAGTGTGGAAAAATAAATCCAATTAAACACCATTATCATATGTATTGCAAATGAAACTTGTGCTTGGATATGAAATTAAAGTTGCTGAGGCCGTTTAGGATGTAAGATTTTGAGGAGTTTTCCAATTTTGGGTGTTCCTTTCTTTAAGCAGAATTTTCAATGACAAATACTTTTGTCTGATGGAAAACCAAGGGCTCTTTCTTTTTATGATTATTTTTATTATGTATCCTTAAATTCTACAGGCAGGCAGTGCTAATTTTTTTCATAGCCAGTCCTGTTTACAGCTGGTTTTGAATTAGTAGCCCATTAAGCTAAATGATAGAGCAAAATCTGCGAGTGAGCAAGGCCAGGATTCCCATTACAAATACACCTCCTTATCAAGTTGCCAAGGCCATCCTGCACAGCTTTTAGTCGATCTTTTAAAACACTTCCCCCTCTGTCTTTGAAGCTGTTATTTTTTTTTACTGCTCCCCAGTCTCCCGAGATCATCTTGAAGGACATTCTGGTATAGCATCACTCCTGTGAGGAGTCTTCAGGAATTTGTGGTGCCAAATGCTGGTATATCTCCAGTGACCCAGCACACACCAAAAGGATTTTGCAGAGGGGGAAAGTAGAGTTTAAATACTCTGGACCTCATTTGTTTTCTGAAAGCCCCTACCAGCTTCTCCTATGTGGGCCTTCAGCACAGATATTGGTGCTTATCTCAACATGTGCTTTTACTTTGCTGTTTACCTTCAAAGAAAGCTTGGGCATAAAATTTTCTCATTAGACCTTTTTCTCCCTCTGAGTTGATGTTCTGAAATGTAGTTCTCAGCTCTCAAGTAAGCCTCTCCTCAATGACCAGAATCACAGCTGCCTTCCTCTTTCTCCCTCAATTTCCATTTCTCTTAATCCTCAGTAGCATTTCCTTGTCCTATGGGGTTTTGAGCATTACTTTAAAAGGAAGGTGTTTTGAGATGAAAAGCACCATAGTCCTGCTAAGCATTGCTATCATTAGCTAGCTGCTGTGGAAATATCTTGCTTTCAGGCATGCTGGAGACTCAGAAGCAGCCCATTCAACTAAACACATGGGACTTGAATTTGATGAGGCAGTTTCCTAAAGGGCTGGTGGAGCCCAGCTGATTCAGCTCTCAACTGAATTGTCCTTGGTAAATTTTCCAGCCCTCCCGATTTTGCAGCCAGCCACTCAAAATGCCTTGAAATGTCTTCTGGGATGATGCCACATCATCACAGCTTCCAGAAGTTTCCAGCCCATCATGTTAAAATGGGCTGACACAAGGCCTGGCTGTCTCAAAGCAGGGGCCTTACTACATCATCAGGTGCCTTTTCAAAAGGGTTTTTCTTCTGGAAAAGGAGAATGTACTCATTTCACACCACATCTGCTAACAACAGGGCAAGTGTGTTCACTGTTGAATGTCAAAGAGATCTGTCACAATTATGGCACTAGCTCCATCTTTGTCCTCCATTGTCTCTTGTCATCAGCCCTTTGAACACAGACTCCTTCCCCTGTGATTAGCACCTAGTGTCCACATCAGAATGGCTTAGCCAGACTAATGGGCTTCAAAACCTGTGAGTCTTCCTCACAGGACTTTTGTGATGAGGGCTTACCACAGGCTAACTAAGGGCTTTCTCAGCATGGTTAACTTGATGCCCTGGGAGCTCTGCAAAGGGGATGCCATTTTTCCCAGAAAGCAGCACAACCAGAGCTGCCTGCAGGGCAACAAGTGTGTTAGTCACTGGGGCCTGATTAGACAAAGTCATGGACATCAGACAGGTTGACAAAAGATTTATAGCAGTAGTGTGTTAGCAATTAGCAGAGGGGGAGGGAAAAGGAGAATGAGCAGTCCTGTCTTTCTGCCAAATGTGCACTGATCGGAGAATGACCCTGTATGACTGTAGATTGTAGATAGTCTTCATTTAGCTGTAGCCTTTGTAGCCTGTGCTGTCACTAATGCCTTCATCGGGTGGGTGGGAGCTGGGGGAAGGGAGAAAAGAGATGTTAATTTGGGTCTGATGACCAGAGTGGGAAACAGAGAGCATCTTTCTTTCTAATATTCTCTCAGTCCTCTTTCCTCTCTATGGAGGTCCTAGCTGTAGAGAAGAGAGCTCATCTGTTGCAGTGGTCATCTCCATCTATCCCTGCTCCCCTTCTGCTCTCTCTAGTGCATGGCCCTGCCAGTTCTGCTGAGCCAGCAGCTCTCATGTCAACAGGGTCTGCTTTGGCAGAAGGATGGACAGCTGAGTATTTTGAAGCTAAGGAGAGAAGCATGGGGGATTACAACAGAGACTACAGACTGTAAAGAGTTAACACATTATGGGGGTTTGCTGACTAGGCAGTGGTGTAGGAACAGTCTGCAGAAACCAGCCCTCCCAGTGTAGTGTGACCAGCTAAAGAACCCATCTATCTCTGGAGTCCTCTTCACAGAGGCAAGAGAGTTCTGTCTCATCTGAGCTCCAGGAACAGGTCAGTGAAAATCCAGACCTTCAAGCCTTTGAAACAAGCTAGTTGACAGAGCTGGAGAAGCCATAGCATAAACAGGCCAAAGTAGACAATCTTGTCCTGTTGTGATCCTGACAGAGAAGTAGAGAAAAAATTAAAAACCAGAGAAAAATAATGGCAATAGGAACCAAGCACAGGAGAGCATATTTGGATCCATGTGCAAGTCTGGTATTTCCATAAAATCTAAGGCATTTGAGGGCCACAGTTCAGCTATACTAGTCACTCTGCAATGATGTATGCCTGACTACTTGGAGCATGCCTCACTTCCCTAAAAACTGGCTGAGCCCCATGCATTGACAGCTGATAATGGCCATGATCCTGGGTGGGAAGTGCAACTTATGGCTCTCCTTGCTTCCCACTGGTGGTATCCAGCCAGATTTTCCAAATAGCTCATTCTCCATTTGGTGAGTGCAGAAAGGGTTGGCTCTGCAGGGTGGATGCTCAGACAGGCCAAGCTTCTCATGCTGCTAGGGGTAAGTGTCTGTCCCTGCCAGCTCTGCAGGCACTGAGGGCTGGGACTGCACTGGATGCCAAGCCTGTGGGGGTTTCAGGCCAAGGGAACAGGAAGGACAAGACAGGGTGAAGGCAGGCAGCCAACATCATATTAATTGCTACTTGCTATTTCATAGGTACCAGGCAAGGGATGGCACGGTATATTATTTTGACCATGTGGTTTAAAGTGAATAATGTCAAAGTCAGAGGTGATGATAGTGTCTTCCAAAAGGGAGTAGTACAGATGTAGCCAGAAACAGCATCTTAGAGAAAGAGAAATGCCAAGAGTTTATTTCTTACTACAGCTACCAACATTGCTTGGTGGGTTTTTCTGAATAGCAACAGACAGCTTCTATTTGTTGAGATCGCTTAAAAAAAATTAAAAAGCAGCCTGCTTCTTCCCCTTCCCAAAAAAATGTGTAAAGAAAAGAAACCAGCTTTCTTAAAGGAAAACGAGAGACACAGGGGAAAGAAAGAGAAATGCCTTTATTTCTTGATCTGTTTCTGTGCATTTTGTTCATTAATTTTAATTTGGATTGATTTATTCCAAAATGAGCCCTAGGTTGCATATATTTGCATAGTAGCAGTGCTGTGGAGAATCCAGCGAGTGAGAAAGAGCAGCAGCAGAGGGTAGGAACTGAGACTGGAAGTCCCAGAAAGATATTCCTCTGAGCTGGGCCCTTGCACTGGGATAGGGAAGGCATTTCAAGGTCTGCGTAGTCACTGGTGTGTCTTTGCATGCATGCAGAATAGCCCTGTGGAACAGAGGTCAGGGGCAGCAGTCAGGTGAGAGAGTGGAGGTTGGGTGGATCCAGTGGGGGAGAAAACACACAACTGCACTGCAGAGATTAGAAACAAACCCATGGAAGAGCAACTGCCGTGGAAAATCAGTTGTCCGATAGGGACACTGATAGTGTCAGTGTTGCAGCATGGACAGATTACCCTGCAGAGCAGAGCTCGAGCAGGCTATAACCCTCCTGACCCAGATATCCCCAGCCCAGAGG